ACTGTCTTCTACAACGGTCCGACATGACCCCATAAACTGTCTTCAACAACGGTCTGACACGACCATACAGTGTCTCCTATCCTATTTTATTTTCTTGTTTTGTTACTTTTTCTTGTTTCCAAACTCAACTTGGTTGATGCTTTCCCTCCTTGAGTTTGCGGGGGGATGTTAGTATATTATTATACTTTAGCATTGTTTATTATTCTTTAAGCATTGTATACGTTAGTTGTTATTATTATGTTTGTTAGCTTTATGCTTTCGGCTAGCTTTAGCCTTTCGGTGCCTCGCGTCTCGCATGCCTCGCATCCAATGACAGGCTATAAATGAGAGCTAAGCTCCCTTTGTAAAACACAACATATATCAATATATACATACAATTTATTCTCTCTCTATCAATTTATCTTACAATTACTACGAGAACCGCGATTGTGATTAGAAATTGAGTTTGAAACTAAAAAGTCAGTAGCGATAGTGGTCAAGAAGAAAAGAAGCAATTGGCACTCGTGGGGGGCCAACTAGTATATATAAACAAAGCAAATCCATCCCAAACTAACACTAAATTTCTAATTATTTATTATAAATCCACAATATACACATTGTATATACATATGCGTATCAAATATATAAATGGAGCAAATCATGTTGATGCGTTTCTTTTGTTTTGGCAAGAGATGGAATGAATTCCAAAGTCTTGCATTGAAATATCTTTGATTTTGTATGCTTTGTATTTTATTACTACAAGAACCGCGATTGTGGTTAGAAATTGAGTTTGAAACTGAAAAGGCAGTAGCGACGGTGGTCAAGAAGGAAAGAAGGGTTGGAGGTGTCAATTGGATGCCGACGATAGTGGTCGGAGAAGGAAGAAGGGACAGCAGTAGAGCATGAGGAGGAAGATAGGTTGGCTGGAAGATGTGGGGAGAGCGTAGGTGTTAAGGTTATGGTTAGGATTTGTGTTGGTTAAGATGGAGATAGTTGGAGAAGGTGAGGGTAAAAATGTCTTTTTAATTTTCATTTTACTTTAATTTTTTCTATAAACACAAGACCACTCTCAATTTTGGCCTTTGTAGTGCACATTTCATCAATTTGGATGGAAAACATAATCGTTCTATTTCAGTTTAAAATTATATGGAAAATTTATGTCTATATTTAAGCTATAAAGAGGTAAATTGCTCCAGACTTAAACCACAGGAGGATAAATTGAATTCAAAAATGTTTGAGACCCCCTTTCCCCCCACCCCCTTTGACCCCCTTTCCCTCCCATTGGCCAGTTTTTCTTTTGCTATTTTTTTTTCTTTTCCTTCTTCAATCACCACCCGCCACGTGTGTGTGGGGTGGTGGGGGTTGTGATTGGAGGGGGTCTCTATCAATGCTCAATTGAATTTTACTTTTTCACTTTACATCATTGTTTGTATCCTAAATGGCAACAATTGATTGGGCCACATGGAATGGAAGCTACACCATGGAGAAAAAAGAAAGGAGAATTACATGCAAGTGGGAGAAAGAAAAAAAAAATTACCAATATATGGAGGTGCAACTGACACTTGCAATCCATATGTTTGTAATTTTTTTTTTTTTTTTTCTTTCTATCTTCTCCCTATATATAATTCCTCCAAAAAAGAACCAACTCAAGGGGGTTGGTGATAGAGCAGCCATCGAGATATTTAAAGGTAAACTATATGCAGGTGGAAGCAAGGGAAAAAAAATTACCAATACATTACATAGGGAGTGTATCTGTGGTGGGGTGCAAATGAAAAGCTGTGGGATGCAAGTGTCACTTGAACCTCCCATGTGTTACTTTTTTTTCTTCTCCCACTCACATATAATTCTCCCATATTTAAAAGTCTATAAAAAGAATATTTTTATAATTTGTATGTAGTATATAACAGTTAAAAATTAAAGTTTGTTTTTTATAATAGTCAAAAAAAGA